GAAGGGGAGACAAACACACCACATGGATCAGTCTAAGGTAAAGCAGTTTGATTGAATATGGCACAGGATGTCTGGGAGGTGACTGGACTTCTCTATTTCTCTCTGGCACACTCTCTCTCTCTTTCCTTTTCTGTGTCTCTCTCCACCATACACATAAATGCTTTCTGAATATACAGAATAACCCTTCAGACAATACAACACCACCCCCCATCTCTCCTCTCCCTAGTCATGGCTATTAAAGATATTAAAGTAAGAAAACCTTTTTCTGTCTCTTCCTCTCACTCCTTCAGTGTATTCCTGAGACACACTGACTAGGCAGGTACAACACCAAACTTACATTATGAAATTTTCCCCTTCCCCTCTCTCCCCTCTTTTTTCTCCGCAACACACAAGCGCGCGCGCGCACACACACGCACACACACACACACGCACACACACACACACGCACACACACACACACACACACCAGGAGCAGATCTGGTCACCGGGACAATATTCACAGTAACATATCAACCTCAGATTCGACCCTGCATTAACTTTTAACAGTTACAGAGTAGTCTCTACCTAAGATCCCCAGGCCTTGCAAGGAAAACCAGACCTTGCCGAATCATCACGGGCGGGAATCCATGGTGACTCATGGTCAGGCCCACAATCAGTCAAACGGTATTTCCTTACTTTGAAATGAACTGTGTATTAAGAGTAAAAGGTCTCGTCTTACGTGCCTTACAAATAATTATTTCTTTTTTTTTTTTTTTGGTGCAGAGGGCTGCTTTTTCTTTCCTGATCCTACTATTGTTCTTTTTCTTCTACTTCTTGTGTATGTTTGTTACACTCTTGAGACCCGCTATTTCCGGGGCGCCTTAATAGTCGAAGCAGACTTTGTGCTGTTGAAGCTAGAGAGCTGAGCACAGTACGCCCGATTCTCTGTATAGACTTCTCTATTGACATCCACCCCTTGGCGCTCATATGACCTTATGCACTTGTTTGTGAGCGCCATAAAAACTCTACTACACTAAAAGTACACGACACCTATCTAAAATTTATTTACACTTCAAAAAATCTCAAAATGAAAATGATAAAAAGAGATAATAAATATAAATAGCCTATCTACTTTGAACAGTGAATCTTCTTAAACACCCTTGAAATGCCGTCAGCCGGGTTCAATTGAGATTTCAACCCCTGGCAGTCAGAGACTTAAAAACCTAAACAATATCTTTTCAAACAATATCAAAGTGACAATCGGGGGGGGGCCAGAACCGAAGCCAGAGGAAATCGCAAGGGAAAAGAAAACCAATAGAGGTAACTAAATGTATGGCTTACAGGGAAAAAACCAAAGAAACAAACACAAAGAAATTAAACTGGGATCCTAGGGGCATGTTAAATTAGGTAAGTCTCTGAAACAGTACTACACTGACCCAGTAGTCAGAATACATCAAATGAAGCCTTCATGGAAAAAACAT